ATAAAACTGTTTTTTTGCATGCTTATAGGAAATGTAATAAGGTAGCCAACTTGTGTGCTACTTTGGCATTAGAGAATAGTTTTTACTTTGATAGTTTCTCTTTTGGTGATATTCCTCCCTTGATGGCTAATTTAATCAAGAAGTGTCATTCTTTTGGTGTTTGGAATTAGTCCTTTTTCTCCTTAATGCATATTGCACTTCTTCTAAAAAAACTAATAGAATAATCATGTATGTAATATAGAATTAATTAGTAATTATTGGTTTTTAGATTTAAATGAGAATTTGACTTTTAACAGGACACAATGGCAAAAAAGGATTCATGTAGCCGACCCCACGTAGTGGGACTAAGGCATGATGATGTTGTTTGTTGTTGTTTTAGTAATTATTGGTTTCAAAATTCAACTGCATTCAACAATTCAAATACAAGAAATCACTTCAACACAAAATAATCTTAGAAAAAAATTCAATTAGGACAAGACTAGTTCACACATCAATTACTCGCATCCATAATTCTCTCACATCCAAGAAAATAATTAATCTCATTAACTAATATACTCAAATTGATACTAGCTTAGTTATATAATGGAATTTCCTAAAGCATCAAAATTATAGATGACACTAGATTTGCTAATTAGCAAAAGAAAGTACTGAATTAATACTGAAAATGTTAATTTTATAGAACATGATCAAATTTCAATTTTGATGTGACACTCACAAGAAAAATTAGGCAAATTGAAGGTGTAGCTGCAACTTTAAAGAAGAAGTGACAATAATAAATAATACAGCAATGTTGGTCGAGGAGCGACAATCTATAAGGTTTATCAATTTCTCTAAAGGTGACCAATGACAGAGGTGTTGGAGTCTAGCAATGAATTTGCAGAGGTCAACAAAGAAAGTTTTAAATCTCAACACGTAGCAAGTATAGAGAGGTCGACAGGTATTATTAGGTGTCAACGATGATGCTAAATACAAATAAAGGCTCGTAGAGTGGTTAAAGAAATTTGGTTGCCAATCATTGCCAAGACTAGCATTACTTCAAAGAATGATATCTTTCTTGCAAAGCAAGAGTGAGTAGAGAGCAAGACGGTGGGGCACAAAACTTAAATTTGCCAAGAGCAAGCAATTTTAGCGAGATGGTGTGGTATATGCGGTATTTTGGGAAAGCTAGGACATTGCAACATGACAAGGGTTGGGAAAGAAAATATGTGAGAGAGAGAGAGAGAGAGAGATTCTCCCAAAGAAAGAGTTAAATGAGAGCTATGATGCACAGACACAAACACAACCACACAAACATTACACAACACGGACACGGGACAAGCCAACTATTAAAAATATAGAATACTGATACGAGTTGGACACGATATAATAATTTAAATATATATCTTAAAAACAATGTATAGAAATTAAATAAATATAATATTAAGAGTAATTGAAAAATAATAAATTATTTAACTAAGATTTAGCCTTAAAATGATTTGTATTAAGATGTCGAGTATCGAGCGTTAATGTCATGTTTTAAGCATCCAGAGATGAGATGACAATGATATCATTAGTCCGACATCGAGTATCAATGTCGAGATGGCATCGGTTGTCTATATTGAGACAATGTTGGACAAAGATGAGATGAAAAGATGGCACGAGGGCATGACTGTGGGTGGAGAAATTGTTGGGATTAAATTTTGATTTTGAAATGGTTTTCAAATATTGATCATGTCGATATTTTAATGCCAATGGACATTATTGTGAAGCCCTAATCGCAATCTGGCAGAAAGAAATGATAATAAGAATCTTCAGACTGTTGAGAGGAAATAAGAAATTTAGTTTTATTTTTAATTTAAATAAAAATTAAAATATAAAAACAATATGATGAAAAATATACATATGTAATTAATTATATATGCTGGAAGTGATAAGGGGCTATAAGCTATAATCCTTTGAGTTTTTGTTTGTGCTAGAAAATACTCTAGTGCCTATAAGGCATGTTCTGGTGGTTATAAGCTATGATATGGTGGTCATGTTATAGTGCAATCATGGTTTAAAATTGCGCAATATGAGGCTCGCCTTTGCGCAATTCCAGTAAAAAATGCCTCGATGCTTACGCCTCAAATTTTTTTTATGAGGCTTACGCCTCAACTTGGTTGAAACCCGCCTCGAGGCTCGCCTCACCTCATTGGAATAAGGCTTACGCCTCACGCTATATATATTAAAACTTACATAAATCTTGTAGTAAATGCCCGACATTGAACTCTATAGGAGAGGAAGGGGAGAGAGCAGTTCATCATAATGATGATTCAAATGAAGAACCCTTAGTAATGACAGCGTTGATGACTTATGAGTTCTTATGTGATATGTCTTTGCTATTTATTTTTCAAAATTTGAATTATATGTTAATGAAAAGAATACTGGGATTTGGGAAAGATAGAATTTTGAGTGGAACTATATTTCATGTTGTCTTATTATTGGGATATTTTGATTTCACTTAATATCTTATGCTTTTTTATGTTTTATATTATTCACTCATTAGTATATAAAAAATTTATCATTTTACGTTTACACAATCTTTTGATTTTGAGGCTTACGCCTTGAGGCTTACGCCTCGCCTCACGAATGAAAAATACCTCAATACTCGAATACGCAATTTTAAACATTGAGTGCAATAAGTATAAAAGAAAGAAATAAGATGCCAGAATCCTTTGAGATTATGTTTGGGTCTGATAAATGTGATACGAACTGCTCTATGATATATATTGCAGTTTATTTTTATGCTCAATATTGTTATTTAAATAATTGGATAACTGCTATGCTCTTATTACATTTCTTAGTACAGTGATTTATTTTATTATATTTAATTATTTTTAAAAATTCAACAAAATTTTAATAAAAGAATTTGAGAATTTAGATCGATTTGTGTGGTTTGCTGAACTGTTGTAGCTCATTATAATTTTGCTTATAATTTTCAGGATCTGAGAAGGGGAAGGAGATTGTTAATTAATAGTTAAGTATTAGATCTAAGTTTATAAGAATTTCTCTATTTTAATTTTTGTACAGTCATGGCTAGTTTATTATTCAGCCATCATGGCTAGTTTATTATTCAGCCATATAACTTTTGCATGTAGCCATGTATTGTAGTGTAGATACATTTTGATGAAATGAAAGAAATCTTATGGATGAATTCATTTTCAGTATTTGGATATTTTAGTAGCTATGTAATCTCTAGTTTATTTAAAATGAATATTGGAAGAAAATCTGAAATATTCCAAAACTAAATTTTGAGATTTTTCTATCCCAGCTCAACACAATAGAACCTATTTAGTCCTATGGTGACACATCATAGTATGAGAGACGTGCTACAAACATTGAATTGATGTGTAAGTAGGTAAGTTGCGGTTACAAGTAGATGATTGCAACATGAGGTAGATTTCCACTTGAACAACTAAAAAAGAGTGAGATTAGGTTAAGGGGCGCGTTGGCATCATGGGTTAGGGCAAATCATAGATAGCTTTAATAGCAATAAGAAAAGTTTCAAGACTAATGACTTGTTGACAATTCAGGATAAGCCAAGAAATCAACTAGAGGGATTATATTTGATAAAATTTGAAAGCAAAAATAAAAGGACAACAACTTCAATATCAAATTGATGTAAGTACCTCAAGAACGGTACAAAATAGAAAGAAAACATAATAAAATATACCAAGCAACAATTCAACAACTTGTTGCCACATCCTCAAGGAAAGATGTTAAATCCTTAAGCATAAAAAAAAATATAAGAATCCTAAAGGATCAATAAGAAGAGACACAATAAAGAAAAACTCAAAGACTAATTCATAACCACTCCTTGAAAGCCCATTACTAAAGTTCAATTCATAAGAAAATTAAAGCCAAGCTAAGGTTAAATAATCTTTATTCTAACTAACTTTAAAATTAAAATAAAAATTTATCCATAATTCATAATAGGCTAAAAATAACTGGAAAATAAGCCAAGTTTAATTATTTTGTCCCCTTATTTACTTCCTAGATTTGATCTAGGAGAAATTGAACCATGCACAATCAACATACTAAAAACATCAACAAATCAAACAATCCTAGTTATAATTTAATTTGATGCATGACGAAAACTTTTCAAATGTTTGAAGGTTCATCAACTAATTTCGAAAATTAAAAAAAAAAATAAAAAAAAAACTAATTTCGAATATAAAAAATTTGAAGATTATAGGACGCCAATTTTTTGTTAAAATGCTTATACATTGTTAGACCTGTCCAGCCGGTCCGACGGGACCGGCTTACGCCAATTGGGCGGAACTCTTTCGCCTCTAGGAAGAGCCGCTTGTTTCCACGAGCTCAAGGGAGTCAAATAGGAAGGATTTTGAAGGGAGCTTACGAGGGAATTTGAATGTAGGGACTGTTTAGAGATTCTCTTTTGATTTCTATGCATTAAATAGTTTGTTTTCCTAGGGTTAAAAGATCTTGAATTTGGCGGAAATTTGATATATCTTATATTTATGTTTTCTTTTGGTCTCCAGCAGCGTCTAGAGATTTGGGAGAGATCGATCCTCCTCTCAAATAGAGGATCAATTATATCTTGCTATTTTCTGTTCCCTTTCATCAAATAATACAAATTATCTATTGTTTTTGTGATTTTGTGCAGATTTTTGTGGAGAATTCTCGTTGTTTTCCAAAGTTTGATAGGAAATACGTGAGATCTACAAGTGTTTCCTATCATACATTCACCCACATTTCCCCCTTTTACTCTTAATCCATCAAATGAACATATGCAATGAAAATAACATTGCATTAATTATGACAATAGTAGCTTTGGAACTGTAATATAATTAACCATCTAGTATAGCACAAGTTAAAAATCTAGGACAATAGAACATTCAAAATGACATTTGCATGTCAACTTCAATTTATCTTTAGAGAAATAAGATTAAAATAAAATGACAATTTTAAAACTTGAAACAGGCACCATATAATATCATAAGTGCTAAAGAAATTAATACCTCAGTATCACCGGCAACAGCTGCTACAGAGTGTGCATCCTCCATTTCTCTATCCTCCTCAAAAAACTTGGCTCGCTGAAGAGTAAAAGTGATATATAGAAATACATCAAGCATTAAAAAGCTAAACATAAGCAGGCATAATAAGAACCTCAAATGGATCCATGTTGGCAGTTGACTTGTAGAATCGGTCGAAATATGATCCTTCAACTAAATGTTAAAAAAATCACACATTTAAATAAAGTAAATTTCAAATAATGGGCGCTCAAAATTCTAAATTAAAAAAACAATAATGAAAAAAAATATGAAACACACTCTATCACACTATTAGAAAGCAAGGGCATCATATTCTTGAAAAATATTGAAAAAACATAAACAATGATCAAATGAATGGGAATAAATAATCAGTTATCAAATTCTAAACACTACAGTTTGCCAACCAGCATATGAAATCTTGTTACACATTCAAGCAAAAGGTTATTGGATGTATAACAACTATAAAACATTTTTAAAGCATGTCATGGTGCATTGACGAAAAACCAATTGCTTTATCATGGACTTGCATCCTTGTAGCATACTCGATTACTAGAAGCAAATCATAAGATTGGGTAAAGAGTAAAGTATCATGCTATTTATTACATAATCGACCAGTCAAGAAACAATCACACCTATCATAAATGCATAATTGCATTTAGGGATATAGTCATACCTTTTTGCTTAGTTTAGAAATTTGGTCTGTAATTGTGTGAAGTGCTCTGCTTTAGTCTTTAGTGTAACAAAACAAGTAGCTTAACAATTAAGCCATCAACCCTTGCAAAAGCGTTAAATACCCTAATAAAGTTTGGAGAGTTCCTAACTTTGGGATGAATACCTATTTTCTCTCCCTGTCCTTGCTTTTCGGTAACATCCTTTCCATCCAAAATGATACTTACTCTACTAAGACGCGTTCATCCTTACGTCACATATGGAGAATTCACAACAATGATGTCTTTGGTGGAGGCGAGTCCGAAGCTTAATCCTCTTATAGACCATTTTTACCTAGAAAACTTGCTTGTATCGTGTTGACCTGTAAATAAAAAGAGGAAAAAAAAATCCAAATCACATACTTGTCCGACCACATCGCTCAAGTTCTACGCCCAAGACCTACGCATGTCAACATCGCATCCCCCACGTCAGTCGAACGACCTCGCGTCGTTAAATACACGAGAGAGGGAGGACTTCGGCTCTCTCGTTACGGACCAACTTCGCTTCTTCTACGACTCTCCTTTTTGTAGGATCTATCATCGGCTAAGTGGAAGACTTCCACTTCACATCCGGAACACCCTCAAACTGTTTCAGCATTTTCACTGTTTTCTTTGATATTGCAATCTCCCACCGTTCTTCTTGAATATGTTTCTTTTCCTTTCTTTTTTCTTCAACTGAGGCTACGGAGGAAGTAGTAACTATCGGGGTTGATTCTTTTTTGAGGTTAGTCAACACATTATCTGACAATGTAAGCTCTCCCTTCTGATATTTTCTTTCGAGCCAATCCTTGAAGATGTAGCAATCTTCAATGAGATGGCCGAGCACTCGGTGATACGGGCAGTAGTTTGGGTTGCCAATTTCCTTCGACTCCTCCGACCTTTTGCACTCCGGTAGTTCCAGACCTGCTTTTAACGTCTGTCGGAATAACTTAGCGACACTCTCTCTTTTAAATGAATATTCATTATTCATCTTATCTTTGAGAGATTGGAACGTCCTCGCGGGCGTTCTCCTCCGACTTGGAAAGTTTGTGGCCTATAATTCCCCCGAGTATCAGCTTCAGCTGAGGGTTAGGGTTGTAGACTTGTTTTGGCTTATCTTCGTATTGCATTGGTTGCTTGCCTTTGTCTACATTATAAATCACCTGCTTCCCCTTATTCGGCCTGAGAAAGGATGCAGAGTAAGTTTCACCTTTTTTTGCCTCCGAGATCTTGAGCTTCTTAGGCTTGTCAGAGTGGCCCTCTGATCTTGACAAGTTCAGCTTTTCAAATTTAGCCAGGTCTTAAAATGTGGTGATGGTGGCCATTCATGGAAATGGTTGCATCTTATCATCGATGTTTCCATTAATAATTGCACAGCATGTTCTTCTTCAAGTTGTTGTTCACATTTCATGCTTAGATTGCGTCATCGAGTTATATATTTTGATACTGGTTCCTCTCTCTTATCATCGACGATCGTAATTTTCTCAGTCGCACTGGCGAATCGCTTCACAAACAAGGCTTCTAACGCTGCAAATGTCTTCACAGAGTCATTTGACCATTCAGCATATATTTCGAAAGCAGTTGTTGTTAAACTGTTAATGAACTGTCATAAGAGTAGGGCGTCATTTACCCCTGTATTCCCGCAGGTGGCCTTAAATTGTGCCAAGCGCTGTCGGGGATTGTTAGTACCGTTGAATGTGTGAAACTTTGGGACCGAATACTCTTTTGGGTATGGCACTTGGTCATATTCAGCGGGATACGGACGACCCTTGTACAACAGTTTCTCTACCTGATCAACAGCTATAATAGCCTTGATTTTCTCGGTGATAATTCCCTCGAGCTGTGTAGCCGTCACAGGCTCGGAGGTACTTGCAATGTTCTGCAGTGTGGGTTGGCGGGTAATACTATGGACCTCATGACCACCTTCAAGAGCTCCCCATATTCCTGATACTTGTGGCATTTGGAAGTTTGGAGGGTCGGCAGGAGGATTAGGCATGGCACCAATAGCGGAAATCCTCTGCATCATTTGCATCATCGCCCCCATCTGAGTCATCATCTCAGTCATCTTCTCATTTAGCTGAGATATTTCATTGTCTTTGGCTCGCATTTGACGCCTTATATGTCCTTGCATATCTGCAAGCGTGACATTTCTCATCAGCAAAGGGGTTATCTTCGGCTTCTTCTCTTTCTTCTTCTGAAGAGCGGCCACCTCTACCGGTGGTGGACCCAGCTTCACGACGACATCGATACACTTGTCTAACCGACGGTTGTTGATTGTCATTATCTTCACCGTCATCATAGTAGGCTTCATCGTTGATGTTCGTGTGTCGCTGTGAAAGCCTTTCAAATACAGAAACTCGCCTACGAGGTTGCTCTGTAATAGGTCGTGGCGCTAGCAAATATGCACGACAGGTAACAGTTTCAGTAGAGTGGGGCCTCCTAGCGGGCCTTTCAAAATTGATGTCGCGTGCAGAGACGCCAGCGACCCTTGCAGTGATTGTGGGGAAGTCGACACTACCAAATTGGATGGTAGCTCCATCATTTCAAGTTTCAATGATAGCATTCACCAGTTGGATTCTGGCTCCCTGTCCCAATTGGACGGTCATCGGTGTGTTCAGTAGATCCATCTGCACAAATGAAAGGTAAGGATTAGTAATCAGAATCTAATACATCACCCCACACTTTCAAAATGCAGAGACTTACACAAAACAACATAACAAAAATAAACAAATATAGTCAATATGAGCAAGCAATAAAAAAAAATTTTAAAACCCTGCTTAAGTTAAATAAAAATTTTGAATGTATTTGTCGGTCGATCATTTTAGAATATTCTAAAAAAAGTTTAATTCACTAAATGACCATTTTAGAAGGATTTAAAATTTTGAGTTTGGATTGATTTAACTACTAGTCTACTACTATAGCACTTTAGATGACTAGCCAAAGATGGACAGAGAAATCAATCCCCAACGGAGTCGCCATAAATCTGTGGGCTCCGAAAATTCAGCCTCGGCCTCCGCCCGCTTTTCCTTATTCGGCGAGGGAGTTTGGGTTAACGGATTAAGTTCCGAGGTAAATTTTGGGAAGGCATATGAGTTTGTAGATAATACACTACACAGAGATTTCGCCCTCATTTTGCGAGGACTTTATGATCTGAGTTATGGTTTCCTATAGACGCAAGCCCCTATAGTTAATTACCCCTCATGATAACGAGAGAGAACTTTCGATTAAGGCTAGTCGTCAATCTGATACGTAGAGATACGTGTTATTTAGCATATAGTAACAGCATGGGCATGGGATGTTGAAAATTTTGAAGAATTTATATTAAAATTGGAAATTTCACCATCTTGCACTTAAAGCGGGTGGTGGGGGAACGAATGATGGACCCGATCAAGATCCCATGGTTCGTCGTCCCGGGCCATCGTAGTCCCTGGTCTACTTAGTCAAAGGAGGTAGTCGACCCAACCTAACAGAATGATCCTTGTTAGTAGTTATGGGTTGATTCATCCAAGAGTACCTTGTAGACTTGGAGTGAATGTTTTTCTAAGGGGATAAATTTGAATCCATCTTAACTAACAGAGGGCTTTATGCCCTATCAATTATACCCTATTGATTCATATCTCAAGTATCTGATGCCACTAAGGAGCGTATTGACTCTAGTCATAACTGATATTTCGTGGTGCCATTTGGCAGCAAAATCACTCGGTTCAGAGGGCCCCGAGTCATAACCGTTTATCCTGCGGTGCCATTTGGCGGCAAAACTACCGGTCAGAGGACACGTACCACGTCCATATTGGTAGGAGATTGTTTGAGAATGTATCCTAGTGATATTTTCTAACAGACAATAGCTCTATGTGAGCTGAGATAAATTTTAATTTGTCCACCCCAGGAAACTGTTGAGAAGGGTGGATGGATTTTTCCATAAAGTGTTTCATAGTTGAATTTTCAATTTTAAATATATTGGAGTTTGGAAGTTGTACTTTCGGGCATTTGAATGATATTTGAAAATATTTGCGAATCCCTCCTAATGTTTAAAATTGCGTATTCGGGTATTGAGGGTTTTTCATTCGTGAGGCGAGGCGTAAGCCTCAAGGCGTTTTGAGGCGTAAGCCTCAAAATCAAAAGATTGTGTAAATATAAAATGATAAATTTTTTATATACTAATGAGTGAATAATATAAAACATAAAAAAGCATAAGATATGAAGTGAAATCAAAATATCTCAATAATAAGACAATATGAAATATAGTTCAACTCAAAAGTCTATCTTTCCCAAATCCCAGTATTCTTTTCATTAACATATAATTCTAATTTCCAAAAATAAATATCAATGGCATATCACATAAGAACTCATAAGTCATCAGCATTGTCATCACTAAGGGGGTTCTTCATTTGAATCATCATTATGGTGAACTGCTCTCTCCCCTTCCTCCTTTCCTATAGAGTCCAATGTCGGGCATTTATTTCAAGATTTATGTAAGTTTTAATATATATAGCGTGAGGCGTAAGCCTCATGCCAGTGAGGCGAGGCGGGACTTAAGGCGGCCCTCAACCAAGTTGAGGCGCAAGCCTCATAAAAAAAACTCGAGGCGTAAGCATTGAGGCGTTTTTTACTTGAATTGCACAAAGGCGAGCCTCATATTGCGCAATTTTAAACCATGATCCCTCCAGTTGAGATTTTCGTTCAACACGGCCTTTATCGGGGGGTATGGGGTCATTTCCATTTGTGGCTTGAATCTTGTCAACCCTATCAACTTGCTGATTGGAGATCGGATTTCGTCATTGGTTTTGTGGCTTTGTAGATGAATTCTCTTTGTTGAAGGCTATGAAGCCTAGTATGAATGTATAAAATAAATATCCCGGTCGACCTCGCGATCGTATATTTATTTAATGGTTCGAGCCGTGTCGACTTCTATATACCTGCATAGAATGATTAGGTTCGAACTTGAATTCACTTATTGACCCGCACAACATCTCTAAATGTCACATGTGTATTTATAACACGCTCGTCGGGGCCCATGCGGGTGTTTGAGAGCATTTTATAATTATTCGTTGAACCTTGTCAACTCCTATTTACCAGTTTAGAAGGATCGGGTTCAAATTTATTGACCCGCACAGCATCCCTAGACGTCACGTGTGTTCCCACAACACGCTCGCAAGGGCCCATGCGAGTTCTTGATTATACTTGCCCCTTTTGTGTAACTATGTGTACACAGATTATGGTGCATGTGTGGGGGACCCTTTAGGAATATGATGGATCTCCTACGGTAACCCGTAGTAGCTCTTTAACATTTGCATAGGTGGAACATCAGATGCTAGATCACTGCTCATCAAGAAACTTGCAAGCCTCATTAATTTTATCCAACTCAATGTTTAGAACTTGGTTGGACCACACCTCATTAATAATTTGATCCGATTTTTTCTCTTCTCAGAACTTATATGAGAATCATTAGACAATTTTCTAATTATGCCATCGTCATTATTTTCTGTTGTTAGCTGGACCATTTAGGAGGATCATGCGAGGTATTCGGATGTCTGGCTCTCATAGGAGGCGGAAACAAGCTCTGGAGATCGGAACTGTTTACGAATACGAGCAAAGGATTCTGGCCTGAGTTGCTAAGCTTCAGGGAACTGGATAGGGCCTCCGGCGACTGGATTGGCATATGTATGGGAGGTTTAGATGCCTGAGGGGTTTGCGGCACAGTGACAGAGAATTAGTTTTGAGCTAGGACCGGTGTAGTTGGACGGGTCCTCAGCAGCTGTTGAGTAGAGTTGGAAGGGAGTGGGGAAATCAGACGTTAACGGGAGAGATTTTGCGTGAGGAAGAAAAGGCAGGGACTGTGTATAGTTTTTATTTTTGATTGAATCTGGAGGACGAGAGTAGCTTTTGTTCATTTCATTTTGATCTAACGACGAGGACAGATGTGCGAGGCGACTGATTGACGGGATCTCAACAAAACAAGGTAATGCGTTAAATGCATTAATCTGAATTTGACATTTTCCTTATTCGGCACCTGATTTCTTCATTACGATTCTTATAATTCAGATGCCAAAATAGTGATATATCTTGTACTACATTAATTTAACATGATAACACAGCATTAATCAAGTCAAAGACTGCATCGATTTACGTGCAGTTTTCTCGTTTTGCGTGTCGAATTCGCCGACTATCAAAATTAGACAAACTAATAGTAGATTTAGTGTATTATCAATGTTCCGGTCACAATGACGCAGTCCATTTCGCAATCAGACATCGTTTGGGTGACGCCGAGGCCTAATTCCCACAAAATACGTGTTGTCACTTTGGAACTGCCTCGATTTGTGCGCACAACCGCATTCAAACAAATTGGCAACGCATTTAGAGTATTGACGGTGTTTTGGACACAACGACGTAGTCCGTTTCGAGATTCGACATCGTTTGGGCGACGCCGAGGCCTTTTTCTTGAAATTTGTGTTTTGCCTCGGGATGCGTGTTGACCTCCTTGCATGTTTTAATTTACACAATTTTGTTGTCATTCTTAAGTATTTGGGTTGTTCTGAACACAGTGGCGGAGTCCGTTTCGCGCTCGGACTTCATTTGGACAGTGTCGAGGCCTATTCTCCTCGAAATGCATGTTTTGTCTCAAAGTTCGTGCCACCAATCTGGATAATCCAAATTGAACATAGAAAATACAGTTCTTGAGTTTTCGCAATATTCCGGTGGCAATGGCGAAATCCATTTTGCGAACGGACATCACTTGGATAGCGACAAGGCTGATTTTTCTCGAAATTTGTGTCATAAATTTGGATGCTTCAAATGTAATAAACAAAATGTAGTTTTTAGAGGTTGACAACATTTTGGACGCAACGATGAAGTATGTTCGTCGATCCGACGTCGTTTGATCAGCCTCGCGTTTTAATTTCGGGAGTCGGTCGTCCCTTTTGACCGATCTCATCCGACTCGACTGCGAGGGGCCTCGACCTAGTAGAATTCGACGTCCTCACCGCAACGACGCCGTCCGTTTGGCAATCAGAGGTCGTTTGACCTTTCAAGTGACGTGTGGAACCAAGGCATGTATCGTTTTATTCACCTGTTCGGGTCATTTCTCGCGTGATTTGAGGTATAGGGGTTAATAGTAATTGCACTAGTAGGTTTGGATTTAGTTACATTTCTCCTCGAGTAACTGCCTTACCCTTGCATATTATGTTAGAATGAGATGTTGTATTGTGTGGTCGATTATGAGGGCATTGATTGTTGGTTACATTTCATAATGTCAATGATGGTTTGTTGGGATTTTCTTAGACCTTCCTAGCTTCCTATTTTTATTTGCATGTCGTTGGCCTTGTATCTCCTCTGAGATACAATGAGTTGTGCGCCGTTTTAAGCTTGTCTTTGTGGTTAATATTGTTTCATCCAAATGAGTATTTTTTTTTTCATTAATGCATAAAATTTGAGACTTAGTCCCTCGGTTTCTCCAAAAAAAAAAATCAAAAATAAATAGACAACATTGAAAGTTTGCATTATGTGTAAGTTCTTAACAAGGAGGTATTCCCAAAAACATGTTAATAAAGAATATGTCCCCTCAAAGCATATAGTTTCATGATGAGCAGAACTTATACAATCTATACAAAATCATATAGCATACATTAGGAATCAATGAGTTCTACGCATGATGACTATCAAAAGTAAGCAAAAAAAGAAACATTATATATTGCTACAATGATGCATATCCCCAATTATTCATACAATATCTACAAATAAATAATATGCAACAATCTTTTTAAAAATAAAAACACTCTCTAATAGCAATCCTTGAGGCATTGACTTTTCCATAATGATCTAATGGGACAATGGCAAATGAAAAGTATGATTTTGCACTAAATTGGCATGTCTATAGACAAATCCATGGGTCTCAACCAATTTTTAACCAATGAAGTCAAAATTAAAAGCAGATATTTCACCAAAAAAAGATGTAATATCCTGTTAAAGTGTTAAAGAATCAAAGATGTGAAGGCGAAGATTGGAAAGGAACAAGAATAAAAACTCGTACCCAGATTAATATTGGATTTCACATTTCCAATAGCATGAAGAATACCTATGGTCCCACAAGCATTATCAACAGTTTGTTTGAGAAAATACAAATCTACAGGAAGCTCCTGCAGATATGAATAGAATACTATCAACAATTTAGCAAGAAGACAATATAATAACTTTTATATAGCAGTTACTTAAAAATATGATTGCTGAATTTATGATTTGCATTTTAGTTTTCTAATGATATCGGAAATTAAAACAATAGTTAGCCACTACATTTCTGATCAATCTTCCAATACAATGTAAGATCTATAGATACTCTCCGAACTCTCATCCCAAGTGTAGCACAAATAAAAATGCTCATATAGAAGTGAGGTAAAACTATAAAGTACATTTATATATAAATTAAAATTGATTATGTTAGGACAATGGTACAGGCTTCAGTGTTTCACCAATGAAATAAGTTAGTGAAAAAATAAACACAGTTGTTTTTTACATGTATAACAAGAAAGATGCACCAAAATGAAACATATATAAAATTAATATGAAAGCATTTGAAAGGAAAAGAGATGGACTAAAATTTGTCTAAAGAATATTGTGCAATATAAATATAATACCTTATGCAATTCTCAATAGGAATAAATGAACGATTTGGACTATGAAGCCGACCATAAAAAGTTGGGGTATAACTAATGATGATGATGATGGAAAAAAAAATTAGATTATATATATGCATCAAAAAAAATATAGCAAGCAACAATATAATAAGGATAAAAGAAGACCCGAATTAAAAAAAAAAACATGTAAACACTAGTTGAATTGATTAATTTGAAAACAATGTTAATGGCTGAAAATTCAGAAATCTACCTTTACAATGAAACATATAAAAGTTGTTTGGGTGACAATTCATCAATCATCCAGACAAAATGCTAATTTCTTTATGAATGCTAGTATCATAAAAATCCTTAAATAATGCAGCACGGAATTTTTATATCAAGCATGATTTTTGAGACGCATTAGAAGATTATAAAAGAAAAAAAGGATGATAAAGATAAATCACAGCCTCCTTCCGATCATCATGGATTGACCAACCCCAAGCATCAACTGTGGGTGAGGAGCACAACAATGAATTTGATTTTTATTGACATATGCGCATTTGTTCGGAAAAATAAAATCCTGAAAGTTGAAATCTTCTCCAAATATTCTCTGGCATTCTTTGTAAGCAATAGTTCCTATTTTCACCAAATCAAAATGAGATAGCAAACCTCCTCAAAATATTTCTGGTCAATTCACAGCAAGGAATTCCAAACTATCAGAAGTTCACAACCTTAAATCATGAGACCACAAGGACATGCCCAAAATATATAATCACAAATCAAAAGAAGCAAAGGAGGCAACTCAAAATCATCTCCATATCACTGACTCAATCCAAGGACAATCCCTTTGAATCAAATTCTGAACAAATCTTATTGGAAAAGTTGGAATGATCACCACCGTTCATTCCAAATGAACATTAACCAATATCTTGGATATTTTTAAATTGGCCTTAGCAAAGCCCATAAGAAGGCCTATTAATCAGTTCATTTGGGAATTCTTTTAGTTGATACTCTAGAAGAAGCTCTATGAAACTTGAGGGGTCACTCTTGACACAACTCTTGATCATATTTTCATCCTGCTCAAAAGTTCTGTGATAGAGCTAAGAACCCAAGTTAGTGGAGAAAAAATACTAATTACCATAAATAATTTTTTATAAATATTTATTAAAAACCATACTAATTTTAAAAAATAAAATGAATCAGTGAATAATCTGCATTTCTAATTTTTATGAATTCCTGATGCAAGTAATTGAGGTTAAATATTCCTAAATATTCATATTATTTTAAAATAATAATATTTACATTAAGCTTGACGATATTAAATTTTATTCAATTTTTAAAATTACAAAAAAAAATATTTTTAGTCATAATTTATATTTTGTACTTGATATTTTCTATAAAATTATGAATATTATTTTTTACCCAAAAAAATTACTTTTTTTGGCATAAAATTAGAACTAAAAAGTAACATATGGTTTCTAGAAATTTATTACACAAGCATTACTAATAACCTCAAAAGATTTAAAAAGTAAGATAAAAGATTATTTTGGCACTCTTTCTAAAAAAATGTGACTAATAATCAAAATTTAGGAAATCCATTTTATCAGTGTTGTTTGCACACAAGGGAGGAATCATATGAGATGAAGATCTCACATACAATTCTAGAATATAGATTCTTTTACTAGAATGAACGACTATAACAGATGTCGGATTTCAGATGCCAACTCAATCTGAAGGAAATTATGCGGAAGCTTTAAAAAATTATCATGAAGTTACACAATCAGAAATTGATCTCTATGTTGGAAGTTATATATTCTATAACATAGGTCATATAAACACAAGCAACAAAGAGCATAAAAAGCTTGGAATATTATTTACGAGACTTCTAACATGCATTTTTTTTGCCTTTCATGAATATTTGCCCCCCAACAAACTAGAAGATTTAATAGAATTTTGGGAAGATGCGTGGGGTTGCAAAAAAATGTGAGGTTAAAATATTATACATATAAATGACGTGTATAAATAACATTAAAATTAAGCGGGGTGCAATTGCAACCCATCATACTATAAGGATTCCGCTATGCCCATAACTCTATCTGAATGAATGCTCTTCACACTAAATGAACCCACTTTGGCTTGGCACATCATCTTCTGTACACTATTAACTAGCTAGGCACTTCCACAATTATAATGCTCTCATTCTTTGTCAAAGAACCACCACACAACCATTGGCATATGATTGATCACCTTTTGTTGAAAAAAAAATTCTTTTATTAATCGCCAATTGATATACCCTAATTGGTTTCTCATTGCTATTAATAGCTTCCAAACCTTTTTTTATTTTTTTTATTTTTTTATTTTTGCAGAAATCTTGTGTTGACATCATTGAAATCAGCACTTGCATTCCACTTGAAGTGCAAAAATATTGTCGCATAGGCTATAGACTTTGTTACTTGTCCCTTCTGGATTCTCCATTAAAAAAATTCTCACTTATCTATTTGTGCATTTGGACACCTAGATTTTCCACCAAAAAAGGTCTCACTTACGCATTTGGAAATTCCAGAGTTAATATTATCAGACCCCCTCCCGGTCCATAAGAATGTTTTCAGCATGCAACAATTACCAATGTAAGCTCTGTGACAGCTTGCTACCACATGCAATATACAAATCTTCATCATTCTCAAATGTCCATAAAATTAGAAAGTATAATCTTCCTAGAATTATTATTTTTCCCTCCTTTAAAATTGCATCAGACGCCCACATAATCCTATCACTCATTTCCATAAATGGAATCATAAATTACCAAAATCTCAACTATGGTTTGCACAGCATAAAATACGAAGCTTTTAAAAAAAAATACGAATCTAATAAAAAGTACTAAAATGGTTAAATACAACATTCTCTAATTTAGGCTAAAAGCAAAACGGGAGTGGAAAACTTGATAGCCCGTGATAAAATTTCAATCTCGTTCCAAACTTGATATTAAAGTTTTAAGTGTTAAATATGTAAATAGAATAGTATTAAGTGGTATGTATGTAAATCTCCAAAAAAAAAAAACACACAGAAAACCAAGAAAGGGAGGAAAAACCCAACATTAAAGTGTGAATGGCTACTGGAGCCATGAAAGAACTGAATGAGCAACAAGCCAAGAAGACAGCATTCTGTGCAGTTCACACTCAGAAGCAAATCAACAGAATAATTTCACCGCCTACCTTTTGGCCACTTTCTGATTCTTGCTCTCTCAAGTCCCTCATCTCCTGGACACAACCAAAGATGATAAGGAGGGCATCAAACATTGAGGCCAAACAAAAAGGGCATCTAAAATTGAGGAATTCAAGGGAAAAATAAACCATGATCCCTTCTTAGGTGAAATTACCTGGGAGTCAGGGTAACAAAAAAGCACAGCAAGCACAGGCTTCGGAACGATCTCGAGCAGCTCATCGTCCAAACCATAGACGTCATTGAACTCCGCTTCGATCTCCGGAACGCCAAGTCCCCAAATGAACTACATAAGCAAACAATTAAAAAAATTAAAAAGGTCCTCGCACGCAATCGCTTCCAAAAAACGCAACTCAATCAAAGAATCTAAATTACTCTCCTCCACTAAAACCCTACAGCCTTCGATCAGAAACAATCGGGAAAAACTAGATGGAGCGGAACGGTTAAATAAAGTAGAAACGAGGCTAAACATCAAAGGTTGGGGAGGAGAGACCTGGTTCAAGACATCGGGGTTAGCTTCGAGCGGAATCCACTGCTTCTTACACGCCGCCATTCCTCTCGAACAAGTACAATGGAGAGAGAAAGCCAGCCGGGAAGAATTTATAGGTTGCGTGGGGTTCAAGAGGCTGCTCACGAGCCTTTGGGTTCGCAGCGATGCGCAGTTTGATTATAAAAACTTACCAAAAATAAAAATTTACTAAAATAACATTTAAATAATAAAATCAAATAATTAATAGTGTAAATAATAAGTAAATAATTAATTATTTCAAATCTATACTATCTATACTACTATATAAAAGTGGCTTGGGACTTCACCCATAGCAAATCTTAGCCATTCATTTTATTTTATATCTTCAAAAATGATCTTAGCCATTCATTATATTATAAATATTTAATAAATTTAACAAATCTGAAAATATATAATAATTATTTATAATTTAGCAAACCATCTCATACGCCCACTTTACTTCTCATTTTTAAAACTGCTTTTCAAATAATTAATTAAGCATTTATACTACTATTATTATCATAAAGCTGTATTAATTATTTGCCACCATTGTGACGTTTTATACTGTGCATTCATTGGTATCAAATTCTATCTATCTATCTATACTACCATTATGACGTTTTATCTTGCTTCAACTTCTATCTATCTAAGAATTATTTATTGGCATATAAATATTAAGATTCATGTCTAATATTTGTAGTAATAATATATTACCATTATTATTGCACTATACCCTTATCATTAAGAATATTTTTATTTATTGTATTTTTTAATGTTATGTTCAATTATATATATAAGAATTAGTACATTAACATATTTTTCATTTGATGATTCAAAAAAATATGAACTAAAATTTGAAATCAATTAAATTGTATTCTGAACTCAAAACCGCTATTATTTTCTTATCAATTAAGGCTTCGTTTGGGACGATTTTTTTATTATAAGATTTAATTTTTGTAACTAAAAACTACTTTAAGAAACAATAAGAAAAATGATATATCCTCAAAAAATTATCTTGATCGGGAACGAATCTTGAGGCAAAATAAAGTCGGAAACTTCAAAAATTAAATTCGGGATCACCTAAACTCCGATTGTAGCGAAATTACAGTCAAACTGAGCCTCTCGGAAATACGAATCCAACGACACCAAATTCGACTCAATACGAGCCCAAATGAGTCCAAATCAAGGATCTGAAGCGCTGTTGGAAAGTTTGAACCACAATTTGAGTTACCAAACGGTTTCAAAGTATGACATTCTTATATCCGAATCGAGTGGCCCGACGAGACGAATCCAACGAGCCCAAGATTGCCGGATTCCGACATTATTAAAACCTTCAAATGTCTGACGAATGGTACATAATCAAGGGACTCAATATCGGTCGTCCGTCCGACCACTCCCTATTTACCTCTGATCTTTCACCTATTTACAAGTCATGCCACTTCAGAATATCTATAAATAGACCCCTCATCTATCATGAGGGAGGACCCAAGCAAGAAGAAGAAGAGAAGAACTCCTCCTTGACCACCGCCAGAGTTCTGCCCGACATCAGAATTCTGCATGACTTCGGAACGACGTCGGAGTTCTGCCCGACGCTCAAGTGACGCCAGAGTTCTGCCCGACGTCCGAATTCTACCCAACTTCGGAATGACTCCGGAATTATACCCGACCTCCGAAGGACGCCAAAATTCTGCCCAATCTCCAAGTGACGCCGTAACTTTGTATGACGTTGTAACTGATTTTCAATCATGAAGTGATTCATTGTAATCTGATCGTCCTAAATTTTAAGGATGAGACAGCCTCTTGTATTTCAAGCAAACACTAGTGAAACTCTTTCAACTAGGCGTGGCACCGTGATTTTTTCCCTTTCAGGTTTTTCCACGTAAAAATCTTGGTGTTGCTATTTCTCCTCTATTTGTGTGCTAGATATACGTACAACACTGAGATGGAAGTTTTTTAACTCTATCGTCGTGTATATTCTAGTCCGCAACAAAAACTATCCCAAATGAAATCTAAGACTTTGGCTTTGTTTGGGACGACTTTTTTATTATTTCTTGAAGCAGCTTTTTAGTATAAAAATTAAATTTTTTAAACTAAAAATATACTTCAATAAGCAGTAAAAAAGCCGTCCCAAACAAAACTTTTGTTTGTACTAAAAAAAACTGTTTTACAAAGTAGTAAGAAATCCATCCCAAAATAAGCCTAAATATCTTAAAGCCCACTTAATGACTTTCCTTGAGCCCCAGCTACAACCAAAGACAGGGAATTGTTAATTTTATATAGTTATGAATGGTTGAGGGATTATTGTAGCCACCATAGGAGGAATTCTATTTAAGTAATTCATGAGGGTGGAAGGAAATACGAGTCTAGTAGTTAACCAAACTTCTTTAATGTCCTTTCTTGCTAAATATGCTGTTAACAAGAATACAAAATAAAATGCTGTCCTAATATAAAAAGATAAGGCCAAGATTATTTTTTTTAAAATGAATTAATGCAAAATTTGAGCTATTGGGCCAATGGAGGCTCATGCTATGTGGCTCCACCGTTGGCTAGTGGGGTGAAAGATGGCACGGACGTCAATGTCACGATGTCGTGGGGTCACTGCTTGAAAGATATACATGAATAGGCGAAATTATTACGTGCAGTCATCGGACGTCGTTCCAAGGTCAATTAGGGCGCACTACGTCATCAATTTATTCTGTACCGTCACTATGGACTGTTGTGCATCGGTTGATGTGACAAGCCCTGATTAATCTCCAAACGATCCGATAATCCCATATAATAGTTTCTCTATTAAAAAGGCATCAATTCACGAATAGGTACAATAACTACGAGAAGCATGAGAATAATGGCGGTGAGGGGATTTCTTCATGAATGATGAGGCTTTTATATCATATGGTTGTTATCATGTGCTTATGTTTTGGACAATAAAGATAAAATAATCTCTTTTCAAACTTTTCGAAATTTATTGTGTTCGAGGCAATGTTAATGAGCTTGCTTATCTACTTCCGCATATTATATAGTTATTATGGGTGAGAGTTTGGCGTATTTTCTAATCATGATGAATCATGTTGAACAACTTTAATATATTATAATTTTTTTATATGATCATTCATAAATTTTGATATAATTTTCATATATATAAATAAGATTATATTTGGTATACCTTCCATTTTTTTTAATATAATTTTTTTTTAAAAGCAATACAAAAATATTAATCCAAAATTATCGCAAATAAAGACTAAGGCTTCATTTAGGACGGCTTTCTTAATGTTTCTTGTAATAGTTTTTTTATGAAAAATTAAAATTTTTATACTAAAAAGTAGCTTTAAGAAGCAATAAGAAAATCGTCCTAAACGAAATCTAATACTTTATTTGGAATAGCTTTTTTACTGCTTTATAAAACAAAATTTTAGTATATATATATAT